GCGGGCTGTGGGGCCAGAGGGGCGAGAATGCCCCTCAGGAGGGAGCCCTGGAGGTGGATGAGGCTTCCCTGGGGTGGATGACCCGGGTGGTCGGGGTTGGGGCCTGGCGGGCAGGAGAGCAGGCGCCAGGGCGCCGAGGCTTATTCCCCAGGTTGATTTGGGTCAGGTAGCTTCTCCCAGCGCAGACATGCCCTGGTGGTGGGGCCCCAGGGGTCCTCCGTCCTGCGGGTGCCCAGCCTTGCGCTGGCCTCCAGGCTGCCGCCCCCTGTGGGCCTCAGTGCAGGTTGAGTGAGTGAACCCCTCAGCTGGGGGCCAGTTAACCCCCCAGCTGGCTTTCCTCATCTGGCAGGGCTGCGGGCAGGCCGGCATGACCTCCGTATCAGAGGGCTTTCCGCGGGGGACCAGCAGACAGGGTGGTCTCCGACCGGGCGGTGGCACCAGGCCAATGCAGTGGTCCCAGCTGTTCCGCCCTGGAACACTCGTGGTGCTTCCCGCTGATTCCTGGCTTTACCCCGCCGCAGGGGTCAGCGCCATGATAGCCAAGCTTGCCAAAACCTGCACGCTCCGCATCAGCCCGCAGAAGCTGAACTTCATCCTCTCGGACAAAGTGGCCAGCGGAGGGGTGAGCATGTGGTGTGAGCTGGAACAGGTGAGCAGGCGGTGCTGGAGGCCTGGGGACTCCACCCCCGGGGCCGCGGGAGAGGCCACACAGGGCCCTGCTTTTCCTTCCCTTAGGAGAACTTCTTCCGTGAATTCCAAATGGAGGGGGTGTCTGCAGAAAACAACGCCATCTATTTAGAGCTGATGTCGGAAAATTTATCTCGAGCATTGAAAACGGCCCAGAATGCCAGAGCCTTGAAGATCAAGTTGACGAATAAACACTTTCCCTGCCTCACGGTCTCTATAGAGCTGGTGAGCAGGAGAGAGCATTTCGGACACTTCCCAGAAGGGATACAAGTGCCTGTAAATCTAGGTGTTTCAGCGATATGGAGAAAGCTAGTTGGTTTTATTAAAAGGAAAGATGTGTGCACGCATACTTGCTTTCTGTTGGAGTCAGGCCTCCTCATAATTTAATAGTGTCGTGATCATATCGCATTCAGCTAGGACCCTGCCTTTTCCCGAACCAGAGCATTCCTGCACCTTCTCCCGTCTGCATATCCCCGCACAGAATCATGCTTTCCATCCAGTTCCACCGTGGAGGGGTTTTCCCCACCTTCTCTGTGACACCTTTGGGTGACCTCTCGTTCTCCCAGAATGCACACGTCTTCAGTGCTGTTTCCAGAAGCCTCTATCACCTGGCTCTCCTCGGGACACACACCCCACAGGCCCTCCTGGCTCACAGGACAGCGTTCACATGTCTTAACGGTGATGTCCAGAGCCCTGCACGCCTGGCCCCACCTGTCTTGGAGCCAAATCGCCAACTACCACCGTCCAAATGGTTCCCCGGAGTGTCCCCTTCTTGCCCAGCTCCCAGACTTTGGGGACCCTGGGGCTCCTGTTTGGAATGTCTCCCCTTCTGGCTCCCTGAAACCTGCAGCCTGGTGCTGCTCCTCCCCACCTTCCCTCACGCTGCAGCTTTTTTAAAAAAGATTATTTACTTATTTGAGAGAGAGAGAGAGCATGCAGGGGGAGCAGCAGAGGGAGAGGGAGAAACAGGCAGCCTGACACGGGACTCGATCCCACTACCCTGGGATCATGACCTGAGCCGAAGGCAGACACCCCTGTGTGTGTTGGTTTCTTGCTTATTGACCCATGTGGGCCCCTGGAACATGGGGACCTGTCTTATTCACCACATGTCCAACTCCTTACGGGACTCCGAGCAGAACAGGTCCGCCATAAATATTTGGTGAATGGACTTTGATGAAGAAATTAAGAACATTCCATTTAGATTTGGTATCAATGTCTGTTTATCCTTCGGTTACTCTGTTTGCTTATTTAATGTTGACACTATGGAAATATGTTTTAATTTTTCTCTTGGCAGTTATCTGTGTCGAGCAGTAGCCGCATTGTGACACATGACATCCCTGTTAAGGTTATTCCTAGAAAATTGTGGAAGGATTTGCAAGAACCTACAGTCCCAGTTTCCGATGTGAGTGATGCCCATCGTCTTCTGCTCATGATGTGTTCTGTGGTGTGATTAGAATTCCCTGATGTTAGTTCTGGGCTCGCAGTATATTTTATTTAAAAATTGTATAGTACCTGAGGGGAAACACTAGTCATTTTTAAAGAACACTCCAGGAAAATCTTGCAGTATTTGCCTTTCACTGTTTACGTAAAACACCTTAAGACAGTGTTGCATATAGTAGAAACGCCACACTCTACACACAGGAGAGCGAAGTGCTTGGATCGTTGTGCTTGAGTAAAACTAACCTAAAGTAGCACTTGCGGGGACAGTCGGTTCAGCAGGGGCCAAGAGGGGGCTCCTGCAGTCCTGCTGGCAGGAATCGCAGAGCCCCTCAGAGGAGCGATGATACCAAAGGGCCCTCTGCCTCTCGCTCACAGTTTCTGGAAGAAATGCTGAAAGGGGGTTGGTTTAGACTATTGACTCTTGCTGGAAGGCCCCTGCGCCAACCGCGCCACCTCGGGCATTGTTTGGAAGTCGGCGCCCCCGCCAGGGCCAGGCTTGCTCGCGGTGTCTGTCAGGGTGGGAGGAGGCCACGCACGCTCCGGCCCCTCAGAGGACGGGCCCCCGCGGGCGCTGAGTGTCATCCCCTGGGCGCATGCAGCGGCATCTCAGCTGAAGGGCTACATCCTGGCCCTGGGAGAATGCCCACAGGGACGCGGTCGCCCAGGTAACCAGAGGCCAGCAGGAGGGAGCAAAGTTGAAAAGTTGTTTTTCTTTCCGTGTTTTGAAAGAAGCTTTATTCAGACAGCTTTACAACAGGATTTCAGAGCGTTTAAGCAGACACACATTCCAAACACAGTTAGCGAGCACCTGTCCGTACTTGACTGTGTTCATGTTTTTTTAACCCTTCTGATGTGTCTCGTTGGTTTTGTAGGTTAGTATTTATTTACCAGTCTTGAAGACAATGAAGAGCATCGTGGAAAAAATGAAAAACATCAGCAATCACCTTGTAAGTGATGCCTTCTTTAGAAAAGCGTAGTCCATGTGTTTCAGAAGTGTTCGATTCAGGCTGTGTGCCTGGGAGGAGGCCTGGCCTGGCGGAGGCGTGGATGCCTTTACGCTCACCCCGTGGTGTCCCGGGGGCTCCAGGGACACGGCCCGTGCGGAGAGCCCGCCGATCCACAGCCGCCTGTGGAACCCTGTCCGAGCGCTTCTCCGCTCCCTTCACTGGCGAGAGTTTTGTGTTTGCCTTCATCCCTCCTATTTACTCCATGGCACATTAAGAATATGTTCAACAGTTTGGGCCTTGGTTCCTTACGTCTTAGCCAGCACATTCCATATTTCATCTGCTAACGTGTATCTCCTGAATGGATCACTGGTGTTGGCCGGGAGTGGAGTGTCCTGTCCACTTAGCCCCAGAACGTCCATGTTCTCCTGTGGCTTCTGCTGATCTGGTTGTCAGGCTGGGAGCTTCCTCTGGGCCGGCTCTGGGCACCTCCGAGAGACTCAGCGTGGCCCAGGAGGGAAAAGGCAGGGCAATTAATCCAAGGCTCTGGTTGTTTGTTCTTTCGGTCCAGTGGAAATGACTCAGCAGAGTGGCCCAGACAGAGTTATCAGAGGTGTTTTTTGTGCCTCCAGAATGTGTAAAAACAGAGATTTCATGGCGTGGCTGCTACAGTCTAGAATACTCGGGGGCAAGTGTTCCAGAGCGGCCAAACACACAGCAAGCGTGACTTGGTGACCAGAATTCCGCATCTGAAGGTCGTAGGGAGAGAAAGAGTGGGAAGGAGGGGGCTCAGCCCGGAGGTGGTCAGATGCCCTCGGTGAGACCCCTGCCCTTCCCCCACCTCCTGCAGGGAGGGGTGCGGCCCGCAGGGCGGTGCGTGGGGCAACCGTGCAGGAGCAGGGGAGACCTGCACGGGCCGGCAGGAGACCACGCCAGGCTTCCGGTGGTCCCCCTCCCGCTCCAGCTTCGGGGGTCTCGTGAGGCCAGCTGAGGTTCTGGTTCAGGAGGTGTGCCTGGGGTCTGGGGCCCAGTCCCCATGCGCGTCCAGGCGCCGTGTCGGTGGCCGTGGTGGGAGCTCTGTCCTGCTCTGCCTCGCCTCCTAGCTCAGAAGCACCTTCGCAGAGCCACATGTCAGCTTCGTGGTTAAAGCAGGAGTGACGGCGTTGTGACATGGTGACCAAGGGGGAGTCCTCAGGGCCACACAGATGCGGGGCCCTTCCCAGCCGCATCGCGCAGCCCGTGGGACCCGTGGGAGCCGTGCCAGGTGTCACCAGAAGCGGGCAGGATAGCGCGGCTTCACGGGGGCCTTGCTGCTCTCTGGGCGCGGAGAGGCACTTCCTGTTGGGTGCCCAGCACACTGGGTCAGTCTTCCAGAAGTGGTAGGTGATTATTGCTCAAGAAATCGCGGGAAGAAGTAGGGTGTTATCCAGACCCGTAAGAGAGGGAGTAGCGCTGGAGTGGGGGGTGTTCCCGATGACAGTGACCAGCGCTCCGAGAACTAGCCCTTCATTCCTTCCCTCACTGCGTTTTGGTGGGGTGACGCTGGGGGTGCTCAGGGAGGGGGTTTAATGTGTGATCACTTGGGTGTTAGGACTCGGAAGAAAGCCGAGAACAGCCTGGAAGGCTGAAGTGAGTCTCAAACCATGGCAAGCTGCTTTCCTGAATTAAATCTTTATATAAATCACTGTTTTTCAAAAGCAATTAGAACCTACAGGCTGTTTTATATTATTTCAGTCAGGCATTGTTTCTGGATTTCAGGAGGGTGGGCGTAGAAATACGACAGTGTATTTCTAGGTTCGCTTGTAAAGTTGACAGCAAACACTTAACATTTGAGGGCACGTTTCTGAGATGATGCAAGTTAGTTGGAGGGCTGTTTTCTATTTAATTTCCAAAGCCTCCGGGGCGCCTGGCCAGCTCAGTCCGTGGAGCATGTGAGTCCGTGCCCGGCTTCTGGTGGGCCTCCCACTCACAGTCTCATAGTCATGAGTTCAAGCCTCACATTGGGGGTAGAGATGACTTAAAAAAAAAAACGTAAAAAAAAAACTCAGAGGGGCGCCTGGGTGGTTCAGATGGTTAAGCGTCTGCCTTCGGCTCAGGTCATGATCCCAGGGTCCTGGGATCGAGTCCCACATCGGGCTCCTGGCTCAGCGGGGAGCCTGCTTCTCCCTCTCCCTCTGCCTCTCTCCCTGCTCATGCTTTCTCTCTCTCTGTATCTCTGTGTCTCAAATGAATAAATAAAATCTTTAAAAAAAAAAAAAACCCTCAGAGATAAGTGCTCACTCAAGTTCAGACAGGTTTTCAGGTTTGTTTCTAGAACGAGAAATCCTCAAGAGTTCACCACTGTTAGGGAACAGGAATGAGGAATACTAGACCGTGCTCACTATGTATAGAGACATGGCGGCCCCAGAGCCCAGAGCCGTGTGGGCAGGGCGCCCTCTGCTGCCCCCGGGTCTCAGACCTCTGCTGCCCCATGTCTTCCCACGGGTGTCCTGTGTTGGTGGGTGAACAGAACTCCGCCTTGCAAACGGCTATGTGGATTCCCGAAGACCTGCGGCCTTTAGGAAGGGGAGGTGCCGACGTTCCGGAGAGAAGCACAGCGTGCCGCGGGCGGATCTCTCTGAACTTCACTGGTGGATCTTGTCCCCTTACAAAAGCCTGCTGGTTGGTGGGGGAGGCTGGAGCTTGAAAGGAGTGCTGTGAGTGACCTTGGAAATGTCACGGGCAGGGATGGGAGGGAGGGCGGGTACCGGGCGGCAGCCGGCGCCTGTCACCGAGCCCAGGTTACCCAGCCCAACCCGTGAGCTTGGTTTTTAAGTAAGGGGTTATGTTCCCAGGAAGTTCTCGAGGTTTTGTGGTGGTAGTTAGGACACAGGTTTGGCCGTTTAAAGAATAAGGCCGTGGGCGAGCTTCTAACTTGCACGTTCCCCTCCCACTTGTAGCAGATGCACCACGTCTCTGTTGTCAGAGCGTAAAGCGGTTCCCTGGGACTCTGCCCCTGCAGCCCCCTGTAAGTGTGGGGTGCCGTTTGCACCGCACAGGGACAGCGAACGGCCGTGGGCTCGTCGAGCTGTCGTCTAGCCGGCCACTTGGGAGGGACTTGCGGGAGCCGCGTTGCTTCGTGTCCCCGTCTGGGCGAGGTCATCCTGGCAGGATGGGCCACCCTGGCTTGTGCCGCGTGCTCTCTCTGTGTCACTGAGAGTAGTGTGGCTTTCGTGGTGGGACAGGCGCGGCGAGGGACCTTCTCTGGAGCCGCTGTGGGCCGCTCCGGCCGGTTTTCCTCAGCGCGCGGGCAGCAACCCTCTGTCCCCCCTGTCCCCCCAGTCCCCCCAGCCCCGGAGCGCGGGCAGTGTCCCCCGTAGGTGCGTCCCTTCATGCGCTTTGCCCCCCCCCCGCCGTTTCCGGGGTTCCTTGTGGACTGCTAGTCCTCCTTGTGTTTCACTGGGTCCCCTTCAGGTCTTTTGGTCTCTGTTGCTGCTGGGCAGTTTCTGTGTCCTGTGTGTCGTCCTCACTGTCTCATTGCACACTCCGGGGCCCCCCTGCTCCTGTCCTTCTGGTCTGGTCTCTGCTGGTGAAGTGTTTCCTTCCCTTTCGGAGTCCGCCTGTGCCTGCGTGAGGCTGGCCAGGCACTTCTGAGCTCCCCTGACTCGGCCTCGGGCTCTGCGTTCTCCCTTCCGTCATTGGCGGTTCCCCCCCGCGGGTCACTCTGCGTCTCTGGGCGCGCTCTTCGGCCGCTGTTTCTGTCTTTCCCGAAGGTCTTGGTGTGGGGCTTGACCACAGTCCTTCTAGGAGTCCTCTTAGAGGGCGGGTTTTCATTTTCGGGGTGGGAGTGGGACCAGGACGGTTGGAGCTCGAGAACTTAGGGTTCTCTGTCCCTCGTGACCACAGCACGCTGCCTCCCCCGTAGCGGCCCCTTCGACGTCACCTCTCTCTCTCTGTCCTTCCCTCCTGTAAACGTCGCGTCCCCGTTTTGCTCACCTTGCGCTTTTGCTCCCGAGGCTTCCTGTCACCGCTGGCTCTTCCCAGGGACCTGGGGTCAGGCCTCCCATGCCCCCTCCCAGTCCCACTGCTTCCGGCGGGGGTTTTGGAATCCTCTGTGTCTGCGGATGCCCGGTGGGTCTCGCTGCCCTCGGGAGTGGTCTAGGGCTATGGGGCTGCCATGTCACCTGGTTTGGCAGAAGCTGATGTCCCCCCCTTGCTTTCCTTTTCTTTTTTACGACTATAAAATAACTCAATTTTCAGATTATCGAAGCAAACCTAAGTGGAGAATTGAACTTGAAAATAGAAACAGAACTAGTGTGTGTTACAACTCACTTTAAAGACCTGGGGAACCCTCCATCAGGTAAGTTTTCTGGAGGTTCGTGTTCTGCGGGTAATACATTGTTTCAGGTGGCACAGCTTGCTGAGCTCTCTGCCTGGAAAACGGAAGAAATCTCAGTTTCATGCCTAGGGAGGGAACAGGCAGCTGAGGCCCGCGCGGGGAAGGTCGGGCTCCCCGGCCTGAGGAGTGGCACCTGCCCCAGTGGTCCCTGGGGAACCCTGGTAGCCTGTTCTGCCCATTTTTCACCTGGAATGGCATAAGGTAGACAAGGTTTGCTTCCTCCCACTTTTAGCCCCTAGTATTTATGAAATTAGATTAGCAGGTGGCAGCTTTCCTCGCCTGACCACAGTTTTCTTCCCCTACACAGTAACAAAGACCATGGGACCAATTTAGTAGCAGTGAATGACAGGGTAACTGACCAGACTGGGGGAACGGGGGACCCGAGTGGTGTCCACAGAGTTCGTGGCCAGGGACGGCGCACTTAGTGGGTGCTAGAGCGGTTGGCAGGCGGGGCCCCGGGAAGTCCGCTGATGATGTGCAAACTGGATTAGTCCCATGCATGTTCTTTTTTTTTTCCTTAAGATTTTATTTATTTTAGAGAGAAAGTGAGTGGGGGAGGGGCAGAGGGAGAGGGAGAAGCAGACCCCCCGCTGAGCGTAGAGCCTAGCAGTGTGGGTCTCCATCCCAGGACCCTGAGATCATGACCAGAGCTGAAGGCAGACGCTTCACCAGCTGAGCCCCCCAGGTGCCCCTCCCCCCATGCATATTCTTAACCACCCGATAGACCCACCACTTTCACAGTTAAAATGTGTAAGTGCAAGTAGGGTTATCAAAGGCCCATCAGAGTGGCACAGCAAAGGGTTTTACTTCACAGTGAGGCGTGTATGCCAAGTGAAGTCCACACAATTAAGGCTTTGCTAACTCTTGGGTGAAATGACCGCCTTCGGTGTTACTTGTTTTATTTTAATAAATTACGGTAAGGGTTTTGTCTTTGATGCTTGCCCAGGGTCAAAAGGATCTTTTCTTTCTTTTCATTCTCCTTTCAAAGGAGCGGTCTTGGGTCAGCTCTGTGTGGTCCTGCTCCTCAGTACGTTCCAGGGTACTAATAGGGACCGGTGTCTTGGACGAAAATGGGGAGAGTGGGTCATATTTCAGGACACTGTAAAGGAAGATTCGCTGGGAATTTGCCTAGCGTTTTAGAAGGACTTGCTACCTGCTTGCTTGGCCATGACGGTGTTCACACCTTGGTGGGTCTCCAGGCTGCGCCAGTCAGCGGAAACAAATCATTCATTTCAGCTGTCATCACGCTGCCCCAGCTTCCCTGTCTCGTCCCGAGCTGTTCATGTCTTTGTAGCCTCTGAAGACGCCTCTCGGGATAGAGACCCAGAGCAGATGGCTGAGGTGCACATAGACATCCGGAAGCTCCTGCAGTTCCTCGCTGGGCAGCAAGTGAATCCCACGAAGGCCGTGTGCAGTGAGTGCGCGGGGATCGTTGTTCACGTTTCTGATTCCGTAATCAGAGGCAGACTCGCGGCGGTATGCGGTCTCATAGTTGCAGACACAGCTCAGCCGCAGGGACCCAGTGCTCTAGGGCCGGTGGGGGTCTGGGTTTTCCTGGATTCAGCAGCGCCTGGTGGGCCTCCGCCGCGCTGGCTTGGCACGGGGCTGTGGCTGCCTCACCTGGCCGTCGTGTGGGCGTCTGTACCTGGGGAGAAGCTTCCGGAGAATGGGTGCTGATCGTCCAGTCCTGCCCTGTTGGTCTGACCTGACGCAAGGAGCCCCTGACCCCATAAATTGGGCTTGGACTGAAGGTCCCCTGCTCTACCTTTGTTGCCTTTCTGGGTCTAAACCTGAGTGGTTCCTGCAGTTGTCCCATATCTGGGCATCTGGCTTCCTCTCGCCTCCTGATTTTTCACAGTGGTCCCTTGATCGGGGTTGGCCCTAACTTGGCTGTGCACCTGCCTCTCGGCTCTCGTCACTTATTGGCACATGAGGAAGGGCTTACTCGCCCCCGAACTTTTTAAGGCTTTTTCTGTCTCCTTGGCAACCAAGAGGGAGCTCCACCTTTCATGGAAGAACTGTCAGGCTGAGCACTCAGCCGGGGAGTGGAGCTGAGGACAGCCCAGGTGTGCACCCGACCGTTGGCAGATTGCCAGCACTCAAGACAAGGAATAGAGAATTCTAGGGCCCCGTGCCAAGGAATGACAGCCCTCCAGAAGGAGAGACACACAGCGAAGCAGATCACGGGAGGGCAGTTAGCGCGTCCAGAAGGCACTAGATGGGCTGATGGGGCACAGGAGGTGGTGTGCGGACAGAGGGCCCAGGTTAGGGATGGAGACGCTGGAATGGCTGGGTCCTGGGGCAGGTACCGGTGTCCCTGTGTGCTGCATCCTGAGAACCCTTGGCCTGGCCTGTTGCCTGTTCCTGGGGCTGAGGGTAGGAGCTGCACCTCAGCGTGGGGTCCGCGCAGGCTGAAGACGGTCCCCCCATCTGCTGACGAGCTCCAGACAGGCTGCTGGCTGTGGTCCTGGCGAGCCCTTCGAGTGGCCCCAGTGTAACCCAGCCGTGCCCTGTGCAGAGCGAAAGCCCAGTGGTGGGGTGGCATTGCCCTTGAGCACGCCCTCGTGGACCACTGAGGACAGAGGGCCTTGTTGGTTCTGGGCCAGGTGGCCAGCTGAGCTCCTGGTGCCCTCAGAAAGGGGACTTAGGGGTCCCCAAAAGTGGCAGAGATGGACCAGGAGATTGTGACAGCAAAATTTGGATTTGGATTTCTCCTATCCTTTCCCGCCTGTAGTTTCTGCCCCTGGGGTGGCATCCTCCAGGTGTCTGATCCACTGCCCCCACCCCCTCCGGGGTCACTGCCCCACGCCCTCCATCTCCACCCGCTGCCTCTCCTGGGGGGTGTTTCTGCTGGTGCTGTGCCCCTTCCCCACCCCCCATCCCCTGGGACCAGTCCCTCCTCGGCCTGGCACTTGGCCTGGCCCACCCTAATGGGCTCCATGTGGTCCCAGCTGCTGGCCTCGGAGGCCTGGAGAGCAGCCTGCCCTTGGCTCCCTGCGCCACTCCCGCCCCCACCTCTCACTGCTGTTGAACCGAGCGGCCCCCCGGGAAGTTTGCCCTTCACCCTGCACAGTGCCCGACCTGGGCCTTGGCGCGATGTGCACCCCTCCTACACCTTGGCACACACCACATCTGTCCCCCAGGGGAGGTGGGCCCTAGTGCTGGGCCTTCTCTGCACACTTAGGTTGCTCTTGGGTGGGAAACTTCATTTTCCTGGAAGGATCCTGATTTCAGTAAATGGGGCTTTTTCACCCAAGTCCTGGGCCTTGTCCCCCCTGCCTGTGGGCCGGTCCCACGGCGGGGAGTGGAGCGCGAGGAGGCCGGGCTCCAGGAGACGACGTAGGGGCTCAGTGAGAGGGGTCTTCGTGGTAACAGGTTTTCTTCTCTCCGCAGACATTGTCAGTAACAAGATTGTCCATTTTGATTTGCTCCATGAAGATGTTTCCCTGCAGTACTTCATCCCGGCTTTCTCCTAGACCGCCTCGCGGCCCGGGAGCGATGTGTCCTCACGGCCACGCACGTCTGTACATTTTCCTTCTCTTCCCTCCATGGTATTTTAGCTAAAAATTGAGTTCACGAAAGATAGTTGGATAAACATACTACTTTATGTGACTTCTTTGTTCTCGTGTCTGTTTTATTGTCAAGAAATGGAAAATGGGGACAAAAGCATGTATTTATCCAGATTTCAGGTAGGTTGAGGCTCCCAGACACTGCCCAACTCTGGCCCTGCTCCTCGGAGCCTGATAACTGGCCAGGGCTGCCCTCCTGCTGCCTTGGGCACGCAGAGGTCACCCAGAGCAGCAGGGGGGCTGTCCAGGGGTGTCCGACTGCGGCACGTGAAGGCCAGAGCCCCTGGGCTCAGCTGCCGGACCTGCCAGGGTTCCTGAAACCTGTGTGGGTCCTAGTTACGGTCTTTACCACCACTGTCTTCCACGTGCAGCACTCGGTCATTCTGGAAAGCACACCCGTGCATTTAGACAGAGAAGAGCTCCGTGAGCCTATGTTCAGGGCTGAGACCACGTCTGTGTGTCTGTTTGCGAGCCGGCCTGTGCTCTGCTGGGTCTGCTTTCTCATCCCCCACGGCCTGTCCCATCACATTCCATGGTGGGGGAGTCTCCTCTGCCCTGTGGATGGACACTGTGAACAGTGTCTTAACTTCCGTGACAGAGCCGAGCAGTGAGGCTGTGGCCTAGGGTAAGAGGAAGAAGGGGGAAATCTGCACAAGTGGAAGATTCTTTTGTGGCCTTTTCTGAGTACGTGGTCAAACCAGAACCAGCATTTGAGCCCATCTTCGGATGCTTATCAACGGGAGTTCACATAAGATATAATATTTGTTCAGGTAACTCTTGAAAGCCAGCATACCGTTTTAATTGTCAAGCCTCTCTCCTCTCTTTGACTGCAGTGGTAAAACTTAGAAGTCATGATGTTCAATGAAGCAAGGTCTGAAAATAGTTTATAAATTTTTTTTTTTTTGGTTAAAGAAAATGTAGTAGTCCGTTACCAATCTGGGAAATTGGTTCCTTGTGATTATTTAAATGATGTTTAATGTATAATGAAATAAAACACTGGTTTTAGTATAAGTTAGTGGTAAAATGGCCCACCTCTTCGCCTGTCTGGCACGGTGTGTCTCGGTTCTCTGCCCCAGCGCGTAGCTTGCGTATTTTTGGCATCCCGTCCTTGGGCGTCCGGTGTTGTGGGCCGGGTCTGTCCAGCCAGAGTTGCACAGATACTTGAGATTCTGCAACATGGATTCTTTATTTGGCAGAGTGGATTTCGTGGCCTGCCCGGGGCCACACGGCCCGTGGCAGGGATGGGACTAGGATCCAGGCATCTGACTTGATCAGTAACCCTCTCCTCCAGGCTCCGCTGCGTGGCCGGAATAATGAGTCCTGCGTTTCAGACTCAGTGTCCACCAATCATTTCATGAGTCTGGGAAGAGGATCTTCGTTATAACTCTGCTATAGTAAAGCAGCTTCGCTTGCAATTTCTAAAATGTCCTAAAACCACATGTAATTTTCCTCTGATTTATGTAGTGTTTGTTTAAACGATACCTGATTGTGGTGGTTTTAGGGATAGCCCGGGTTTCCGTGTGCGCATGGCCACGCAGGCCATCCTTGGGGGTCAGGGTGTGTGGGGGGGTTTGTTTCTGCTTCTCGGCAGCACTCCCTGCTTCATGCTGGCCTGGGCCTCTGCCTCTTGGAGCCTTGACCGAGGATGGCCCCCCGCCACGGGCTTAGGGAAGCCACCGTGCTGCTGTACTGAGCAGTGTACCACGGTGAAGGTCTGTTAGCTCAGCTTAGACACATGAGTATAATTTGAACAGGTAACGTATTTTCAAGACTAACACCTCCCAGTGCCGAGGTCTCTCACCCGCGTCCTGCACTTTAGAGACACGCTCTGCTGGCTGTGACTGTATGGGGCTGTCCCCGGTGCTCAGGCTCAGACGTGTTTAAGAATCCCTGACCCGGTGCGTCACCCTCCTCCCGGGTCCCCCTGGGCCCGGCAAAGACCTACTCCAGCGACCATGGCACTTGGCCTCCGTGTTTTCCTGGGCTGGAAGCGTGGTTCTGTCCAGGTGGTGAAGGCGCTGAGTGGCATTCCTGTTCTTGGTGGATGTTGCCCAATGGGCGCAGCTGCATTTTGAAAAGACGCAATCGTGTCCTTGAATGTGGATTCCAGTGGGGGGTCTGAAAGAAAGCCCGAGCTCCTGTGGGTTTTTCAGCTTCTCAGTGTCCTCCTTGAGCCAGGAGGCAGGAAGTCTGTCCAGATGGGATGAGAGGCTACATTAACCCCACAGACACCCTGGGGTCTGGTTGGGTATTGACTGGGTGTGGAAAGCCTTAAAAAGTCCGGTGTGCCCTTCAACCCAATACTTCTGATTATAGGAATTTCCACAGAGATTATAATCAAGGGTGTTCTGGTATTCTTGTACTAAAAAATCCTGAAGTATTCTAAGTATGAATCCCTAGGGGATTTGTTAAATAGTCTGTCGCCTGCCGGTATTTCCTGCTCTGAAAGTAACGTTACAGAAACAGTGTACTGATGTGGCGCAGTGTTTATGATGTGTGGTTAGGGTGTGTTACCGTCGGATTCCGGTTCTGAGAATGATCACGTGTGTGTGTGATAGAAAAAGGCTGGAAAAATATACACCAGCGCTTAAACCTGATTATTTGTGAACGTTTCATTTCAGTCTTTGTAAACTTAAGTATCTTCTGAAACTCTTACAATCGGTTTTGTTACAAAAAAATAAATTATTTTTAGGGACTGAGTCATAGTATTTATTATCTGAATGCAGTCCGTAATCGCTGGCAAAGGCAGTTTCCTCACCATTGGCCTTGAGACTCTTCATCTTCACGCGTGTCCTTTCCTGAGTAGAAAAGTAAACTCTCATGAGTCGTGTTGAAATCACAGGAGGGTCACAGCACTGAGTCGCTGAGTCGTGCATCAACGAGGTAACAGTGCGCTGCAGAATGATTGCGTCCCGGCCTGCAAAGGAGCCAACCCGGGGCTAGCCGAGTGCGTGGTGAGGAGAGCATGACAGCCGCTGGGGCCCAGGCTACCGGGCTGGGGGGGGGGGTGCTTCGCACATCTGTGATGCCCAGAGGGAAGACCCCTGGGACCACGGGGATGGGGCCCCCTCCCCGAGCCCTGCTGAGCGAGCCCTGGTTCCATCAGAGACCCGGGGAGACGCAGGGAGACATGGGGAGACGCTGGCTCTGCAACCCCGTCCGGTCCCGGCCTTAGCATCTCAGAGAGGCCGCCTCTGTGGGGTTGAAGGGAAGTGCAGCCCTCAGGCATTTTCTGAGTGGTGGAGGAGGGTTAGAAACCAGAACCCAGACTGGTCCTCGTTGGCCCTCCCAGTGGCGCCCAGGAGGGTCTGGTCAGCGCTTCCCAGCACACCCTGACCACAGCGCTGCACTCCTAGCAGAGGGTGGCCGGAACCCCTCCGTCCTCCTTAGGGAGGGAAACCCCAGGTCTGGTTTGCTGGGTGGGGGCTTCCCCACCCTCAGCCAGCAGGAGGAGCCGGGAGGGTGACAGTGGGACTGGGGCAAGGGTGTCCCCTCCTGCTTTTGTCCCTTGGTCTTGCTCCTCTCACTGGGGGCAAGCCTGCAAGGAGGTGGGGGCCGTGCCCCCTGCTCACCTTCACGCCCTGGCCCAGATCCTGCAGCATGGGCTCCACCAATGTCTGGAGTGTGCCGGCTTGTTACCTCATGCTCAGGGTGCTTTGGGGGGTGTTTGGCGGCTCAACTGCTCCTGGGGACGCAGGGGACCTCCCTTCATAGGGGACACGTCTGAAGTGACCCGGAGAGTCAGTGGTGGCTCTCGGCTGTGCAGGAGCTTCCAGAAGCTTAGAGGGGCCCCTGCCCGGAGGGCCCGGGACAGGGGTGTGTCCTGAAGCCCCTTGAAGGAGCACACGCAGTGTTTGACCTACATCACGTGGCCTGAGTGGTCGGACATAGCAAAGGCTTCCAAAGGTGATCTTATTTCTATTTCATAATATATCGGTTATCTGGAACAATAGCTTTGATGGGTGTAGATTTCAGGGAGAACTACTCCAGATAGAAGGTCGAAGGAGAAAAGAGACCAGCGGGCAGGGCCCACGCAGGACGGGTGCCACCAGCAGTCCTACCCTGCTCAGTGTGTACTGTGGACCCTGTGAAATCCCCCCAATCTGTGTTGTGCTTTTCTTAATGACTGCCTTGGAATACCCTGCTCAGTGTGTACTGTGGACCCTGTGAAATCCCCCCAATCTGTGTTGTGCTTTTCTTAATGACTGCCTTGGAACAAGGTGAATGCAAAAGTGCTTGTGTTCTTTTCCTGCTCATAATGTATATTTTGCAAGAGAAAAATCAAAGTGATCACTGAAGTCTTCAGTGCTGAATAATGACTTCTGTGATGATCTGTGTCCTGTCAGTGT